GAGACGCGAACCGCGGTCGACTACGTGGGAGTCCAGCGACATAGCCATTACGCTAACTGCTGGTTCCCAAAAGAGCACATTTTTAAAGGACTTATTATTAAGAGGTGTTGGTTCATACATGATTATCTTATCCGTTGTTAAGTACTTTTTTGTAAAATGACCCAGTATTGTAATAGCCACTTGTCAAATGCAAGCACATCTGAATGTGATTCCCTATAGTTTGAAATTGAACTAGTATTGTGGTTCTATGTGTTTAAGAGTTAAAGACTAGGACTCTTTCCTAATGTATGACTGTGGATTAAAAGAAAGTAATAGGGCTGGGCAGGCGGCATGGTGGCTCCCACATGGCTGGATCCCACGTGGCTGACTGTTCAAGTCCTGGACCCTGCAGCTTGGAAAATAAGCTGGGCGCATGGATGTACATGCCCCAAATCCCGAGAGGAGAATGAAGGAGAAGGGATTGTGGGTGGCCATCCCTCCTGCAGGGTGCCTTTTCACTTCCTCTCTCTCCCTCTCTTGGGCAAGAGCACGTACCCTATAGCAAAACTAAAAAAAAGGGGAAAAATAATAGAGAATTGATAAATGAAGGAAGAAGGGAGTTAACCATTACACCCGAGACCCAAGCATATGCAAAAACTTCACCTGCTCCTCTCTCCACTCCAGAGGCCCTACCCTCAACCTCCACTCTGCCTGAGAAGCAGGCACAGGGCAGGGGACCGGCCAAGCCTAAAGAGGACCTGCTGCACGGGCCTCAGTACTGGGTGGCTGTAGGACCAGCAGTGACGTTCACAAAGCCCCAGCGCCTGGCTCACAGTGAGCACCATACAGGAAGAGGAAGGGAACAGGCAGGAGGCCGGCCCTGGGCTGGAAACCTTCTAGGGCCACCAACTGTGTAATCACCCAATGGTGCTGTTACTACTTCACAAAATGGGGCCACAGTTCCAGCCTCTGTGAGGACTACCTGAGATAACTTCCAGAAAGCACAGGGAAAGGCACCTAGCACATAGTAAGTGCTCCATATGCAGTAGCTCATTTTAAAAAACGCGTACCACCAATTTATTACCCAGCTTCAAGGACACGGCTCAAGGAAGAATAAAAGAGAAAAGGGATACAAAGCAAACCTCTGTCCCGACCAGACCTGGTATCCAAAGTGGCCCAAACCAAACCCACTGGGTCTGCAGGCCCTTCTGGAAGTCCCCTGCAGGCTGAGCCAGGAGCTGGAGGCTACTGTGGGGCAGGGCTCCCATCCTGGCCAAGGCTTGGCTGAGGCCCCAGATGGGGCCTGTGCCCAGAGCTCCCTGCAGTGAGGCAGACCCAGCCTGAACTTGCAGGGGGCCCTGTACTCTGGGCACTGTGGTGGGACATGGCTCGTCCACCCTCCCTTCCCGGCTCCCCTGCAGCTCATAGATACCCAGATTTGTCAAGGAAAAGTCAGATTGTGGGGTAGGAAGCTGAGGGGGGTGAGGGGAGTACTTACTGTAAGGTTCCTCCTGGGACTGGAATCTGCAGAAAGCAAAAGGATCAGTGACTTCAAGGAGAGTTTGGCAGCCACCCAGCCCCACCCCACCCCACCCACCTGTCAGTGCACGGCTTCCCTGGACCACGGACAGCTCTGACTTCCCACCCAGGGCTTAGACCCAGCCTGGGGAATAGGGGAGAGGTCTTAGGGTCAGTGCCCCCACCCAGGCCCAGGGCCCAAGAGGTTCACTTTGCAATGCTCCCTGCTCCAGCAGCAGGTGAGAACTGGGGACCACCTCTCTCCCCTGGGCACTCTCATTTTGAGTGACTGTTCTCCCCCTCACCCTGCCACACGCAAGGACAGGCTCAGGAGAAGCCCAAGCCAGGCCCAGGAGGCTCCGCCGGGTCAGAGGTTGGTCTGTGGCTGCTGCCACCAGCTCGGAGGCGCCAGAGCTCCCCGGCCCTTCACGCTGGCTCACATGGAAGACCTCATACTGAGGCAGGCGACAGAGAGAGGATAGCGAGTCCTGAGCATGCTATCCCACCCTGCCTTGGACAGGCCGGAAGCCGGCCCAGCTGAATTGGTTTTCTCTTCTGTGTGCCTGCGAGAGCCAGGCAGTGGCCTTTGAGAAGACAGCTGCTCTCCGTCTCCTGACTTCCTTCAACCCCACCCTTCTGTGGGCTCGGGAGGCACAACGATTCTTAGGGCACAGCCTTTATCTTCTCACCGCAGACCTAGCCGCGACCCGGTTGTCCTCTCATATCGAATAGGGGCCAGCTTGGACTGTCATTTAAGCAGGGCTCACTGACCCTCTGAGAAAGGGGAAATGGCACCAGGCATCTAGTCTACCCTAATACAAGTCCACTCCCAGCTAAGATGACCCCGCAGGGCTGCACAGCCTGTCGTGACTCCCAAGGAGACCACCCACAGAGACCTGGGGTCTGCGGTGTTAGGTGAACCAGCTTACCACCTGATGGGGTGAGCTGAGCCACCTCCAGAACACACTTTCTGATCTCAACCACCCCGCGGAAGGCCAGTCAACAAACGATACGAAATGCACATAAGAGAGTAGGTTTGGGCCTGCTGGGTGGACTCTAGGTTGGTCTGGGAAACCTTCTTAGGGGTGTTGTAAGAGATCGACAGCAGGTGGAGGGTCTCTACCAGGAAAAGGGGCTGCGATGTAGCCAAGAGAAGCAGCTGTGTACGACACACCTGAGTCTCGATGTGGCAAGTGAACCCAGCTTGCTCAACCTGCAAACTGCAGTCCTGAAGAGTGGTCACCCCAGGAGGTCACAGCTCATTCCCATGAGACAGCCACTGTCTCAGCCCCAGCTGCCGCCTTGGGAAATGCTCCCTGGCCTGAGGCACATTCTTTTAAATGATGCAGAAGCCAAATCTTCATCCTTTGAGAGTGATTTGATAGCCCGTTGTTATTCGGTGCCAAGACATTGGGGTGGCCAAGATAAAAAGTGTGTGACAAAGTAACAAGACAAATAGTAAAGATGATAAAGTCAGTCTCGGAGAGGAAGCAGGCAAAGGGGAACACAAAGCTACTCTCGCCCTGAAAATTGGCTCCATCTCCCATTTTTATCTTTTTAGAGGTTTCTGCCTTAGAGGTTTGTGCACGAAGACAGAGAGAAAGTGAGAAATCAGCCCCCGGGGGGATGGCCACGGCCGCAATCCCTTCTCCTCCCTGCCTCCCAGGATCTCGGACACATGCTTACACGTGCCTGCTGTGATTTTTCAGGCCACCAGGTCTGGGACTCGAACCATGGTAGGTCATGTGGGAGACCAGTGACCACTACACCATCTCTAGGCCCTCAACTCCATTTTGCTGAAGAGCCATCGGGCAATGAAAACCTCACCCCCTATGGCCCAGGAGTCCCTCTTTGGGGATCGTACTCAGGAAAGAACACGACGTGGCCGTACACAGAGCCGTGCTTGTATGAACCGAGCAGAAACGAGCCAAACGCCAGACAGTGAGGCTGCGAGGCAGTACAGGGTCGTGAGTGGCCTGAAAACCAACACATTAGGCACGTCTCCAAGCCTTAGTCCTCCTCAGATCAGTCGAGGGAAGTACAGCCTGGGGAGGCTGCTGAAAGCCACACGGGAGGCCTGGATCCCAGGCTGACCTGAACACGCCGGGTGCAGGGTGCATACCTGTAGTCCTAGCTAACTGGGAGGCTTGGCAGGAGGATCGTAACACAGGGGGCCTGGGGAACATGCCTGTCTCGAGACCAGCAGAAGGCATAATGGTTACATCACTGGACTCCCACATAGTCGACCATGGTTCGAGTCCCAGACCTGGCAGCTTAAAACTCATGCTGGGTGTGTGGGTGTGCATAACCAAAATCCTAACAGGAGAATGGAGAAGAAGGGATTGCAGCATAGCCCTCCCTAGGGGATGGCTCACTTTTTTCTCTCTTTCTCACTTTTTCTCTCTTTCTCACTTTCTGCCTCTGTCTCTCTGGAGAGCACACACACACCCCATAGCAAAAATCTCTCTCCAAAAAAAAAGGGAGCCGATTCCTACATGGCCAACCGCGGTTCAAATAATGGCCCTGACGGCCTAAAAACCACACCTGCCGCATGTGTGCACATGCCCCCAATCCTGACAGGGTAGAGAAGGGGAGGAGAAGGGATTGCAGTGTGAGCACGCCGCATTGACAGAGGTGGGTTCTCCCTGTCTCTGTCTCTCTCTGGCAAGTGCAAGCACCCACTGACAACTGAAAAACGAAAGCCTACTTAGAATTCTTAATTAAGCTATTAAAAAGGAAAGGTGCACATAGTAGGTCTTGGAAAAGCCTAAGATGTTAGCATGGCTTGACACACTGAGAAGAAAAGCAGCATTTGATACTGACTCCCAGAAACGAGTGTGAAATAACGTAAGGTAAGAAGGCTGAATCAGGAAGGCTCCACATCGGCCTGCAGCCATGCTATAAGGTTGTCAGGAGAGTCGTGACACATTTTTGCCTAGAAAAACGTGGAGAAATACATCATGACTTTCCCGACAACCTAATGCAGCCCATGAGTACTTTGATAAAGACCAGAACAACTCTTGCCAAGTACAGAGGTCAGATTTCGTAAGTGCTTTTCCCCTAAAAATGTTGCTTCAGTCTGATGTTTGCATTTATTAGTTTCCTTGGTTTTGGGAATAACTATCATCTTCTCATAAACTTGTCTGGCACCCCAGGATAGGAGTCCAAGAACACGCTGGCAGTGGCGGCACCCCCTGGGACAAGTGCACAGTACCCCAGGCTGCTCTGAAGGCCAAGCTTCTGGGCACGTGAGTTCTGACACAGGGTTTAGGACGCTCAGTTCCCTCCATGCCCATCTTCTCCCCTTCAGCCCCCTCCCTCTCTGGCCTGGGACTCCCTGCTGCTGTGGGAAGCAGAACAGGCTCAGGGAAGGAATCTGGCAGGGAGGTTCAGCCAGACCTTGCCCATAGGCATCCCTAGGTTCAAACCTGGGCTCCTTGGGGAGCCGGCAGGATTCCAGGGCTAGGGCAGGAGGGTACGAGATAAACCAGAAACATCTTAGAGTAAAAAAGTGCCCAGGCCCAGCCGCGATGGCGCGTTCTGTCCCATGCGCACTCTCTGTCTGTCTGTCTGTCTCTCTCTCTCTGGTGAGCCCTATAGCAAATTAAAACTAATAATAATAAATTAAATTAAATTAATTCTTACAAAAAGGAAGAAAGAACTCCCACTGACCTAATCTGGGACAATTTGAGAATCAAAAGAAATAATAACGGTAACAGATTATAATCCAGTGAACAGAACAGTAATCCAGGAGTTCATACCAGTACAAAAATGAAAATGAAGAAAAGGAAAGTCTGATGAAGAATGGTTTATTGGGGCCGGCAGGTGGTATGGTAGTTAAGGGCACTGGACTCCCACCTGGCTGACCACGGTTCGAGTCTCAGAACTGGCGGCTTGCTTTCTCACTTTCTCTCTCACTCTGTCCCTTTCTGATCAAATTAAAAATAAATAAATAAGTTAAATAAAATCATTCTTAAAAAAAAAAAAAAGGAATAGGTTATTGATAGTCTCAAAGTACCTCCCCCAAAATACTTAGCAGGCACCAAGGAGGAAAGAGCAGCTTCGCAGTGGAGAAGCCTGGCAGCATCACCCCCCAGTCTGGTGCTCACAGTGCTCAGAGCCAGGGAGGGACGGAGGGAAGCTGGCAGGATGCCCTGAGAGGAGCCCAGCATCACTGCTGGGACCTTCTGGCCAAACATGCATGAACCAGATCCCCTAAGGAAGCACCAGACCGACCCTAAATGAGGGGTGTCAGATTTCTGACCTGTACTTTTCTCAAGTGTCAAAGCCGTGAAGTGAAGGGGAAGGCGAGAACTGACCCAGACCGGGGGAGATTCGGGAGGCCAGACAGCTACTGCAGCATGTGGGTCTAAACTGGATCCTTCTGCTGTCAAGGACGTTATTGGGACAAATACAGAAACCTGAGCAGGGCCTGAGCACACGCTGGTGACCATGCACCAGTGGGAATTCCCGGATTCTGATGCTGCTACTGCGGGTCGTGTGAAAACACATCCTTGTTTATGAGACCCACACTCAAGCTCTCGGGCGTGATAAGGCATCAATGAGTAAGTTACTCTCAGATGGTTCCGGAAAAAATAAGTTCTTCCTACTGTACTGCAGCGCGCCCGTAAGCTTGCAATTGTTTCAAAACAAAACAGATTTTTTTTTTTCAACCTAAATCTGCCTGAAATAACAGATAAAATCAAATTAAAATGAAGGATGAAAGGACGTTTAGACCAGCAGTTCTCAAGCAGAAGTAGTTTTTTCCCCGGAGGCTATTGGGCAAGGTCTGGAGGCATTTTGGGGTGTCACAACCTGGGAGTGCCCCTGGCATCTGATGGGCTGGGCTGCTCAATCCTGCAATGCCCATGACAGCTCCATCCCCAGACGTCCACAGAGCCAAGGGTGAGACCCTCTTCTTAGAGAAACTCAACAGCACAAAACCCTAGCCCTACCGCGTGTTAAAACAGTCACTTTGTGTGCGCAGGCTGCTTGTCTGGCCTCGC